TGCCTGTCGACGGGCAAACTTATGGCTAAGACCACAAACAAATTTCATGCTGCATTGCTGCACAGGCGGCAGTAGCAAGCACTGAACAGAATTGAGCAGCAGCAGGAGATGCAGATGGGGGCGAACTGCCCGAATTAGATGTGGAAGAAAATTGTCTTCCTGTATGAATTTCATAATTTCCACAAGTTTTAGTTATGAAAAGCAAGCAATTTCCTCTCTCACCAAACCGGGCTAACTGCCTGTCGAGTTGTTGGCTGTTGTTGGTAGCAGTTTGTAATTTGTAGATTGTAGGTGTGCCTGTCTGTGAGGCTTAGGTTTAAACAACGTGTGTGTGTGTGTGTGTCGGCAATTTGGCAAAGTTTAAACTTTTAATGCGAATCACTTGCGAAAGTTAAGCTGCGTCTTTCAGAGCGAATGCGTCATATGCCTGGTGAATTAGTTTTTCAATTTCTGCATCTGTTGTTTGCTGATGTCATCGACACACACTCACGCACACTCAAACACACACATGACCACACTTCAGAATCAACATCTCCTCTGGCTATTGTTGTTGTCTTCCTTTTTATTTATTTTTTTTGTATTTTTTGGTGCTCTTATTTATTTCTTAGCAGGCTGACCCAATGTCTGGCATACACCCACCCTGAGCTGCCAGCCAGGCAACCCTTTGTCAAATTTTCGCAATTTATGTTATTGTGTGTCTGTGTGTATTTGTGTATGTGTGTGTGTGTTGTTTTTATTTTTGTGATTTCTATCAACAACTTTTACTTTTAAGCAAATCCTGGTGGCTGCTTCTGATATTTGAGTTCCAGTTTCGAGTTCGAGTTTGAATCTCTCGTGCAGAAAGCAATAAAAATTGTTTACAAACATTATTTGCTCATCCTTTGCGGAAGCACCTTGTATGTTTTACAATGCGTAACAGAGAGATAGAAAATTTAACTGACAAACTTTGCGACGGCTATCCCAAGATTTCCCATTTAAATGCATATATATTTTTCTAAAACACAATAGCACTGAGATTCTTGGCTATCAGCATAAGCACTGTGTTTATTTTGTTACTCGACTATTAAAGCTATGCACACTCACTCACACAAACACACAAACATACACACACACACACACAAGCCACAACACATCCACCCACAGCTACTCCAGGACATACTCTAATAAACTAATGCTTTCTTTCTTGGGCTGCTTTGGTGCCCTTAAATCTATTACAAGTCGGTTGGTCCCCATAGTTTGTTTGTTGTTGTCCTGCGTAGACTTATTTGCAAAGCATTTTACGGTGTTGTTGTCATTGCTCTGGGATTATGAATTGGGGAAAATGTTTCTCCAAAAAGGGGCTGTACATGCACATATACACATATGTATATATATATATATATTTATATGTATGTGGATTCGTTAAAGTTTTGTGCCCAGGTGCAAGTAGCCCATTTGAGACTTATATCATTGGCATTTATCTCAAGGTTTTGCCACTGTCTCCAAAAAAGGTGTCAATTTCAAATTGTGCTCGAATGATTACAGTTAATTGACATTTTAAGTATTGTATTTTAAGTATTGAATAATTTTTTTTCAAAAGTTTCGTTAAAATTTGAAGTTCTACAAATAAACTCAAGTTATTCTGTTAAATTTTCTGAGGATATTTTGAACTTTAAGGTGGCAAAATGTAGAAATATGTTTTGAGTGTTTTGCCACAAAAATTGAATTACAATTTTGATTTGATATCGTAGTTATTCTTTTACAGAAAAGGAATTCATTGTTTTTTTTTTGTAAAGTGTAGTGCTTAGAAAAGTGATAAATTAAATATACATTAATATTATTGTTTATATTAAAACTAACTTGATTTAGATATGGCCTTACTAAAATCTGTGTACGGTTCATTCACTATTTAGTTAAGTTAATATTGTTTTTTATTATTATAAATTCCACAATCCGTAGATAAAATATTTTCAACTTTAAATTAAAAGAAAAGGTTTTGTTGGGCTCAACTATTGTTATTATTTGTTTTCTTGAGTGTACTTACACCAAGGACATACACAAATGCTTAAATTGTTGTGATGCTTTGGGTGCGTGGCACTTAGCACAGCCCAAACTGGCAGATTCCCAGTCGCATTCACAGTGCCTCACCCCACCCTCCCTTTCCATACGAAACAACTTCATTTAGCACGCATAAAGCTGGGGCAACATGTGTGCTTGGCGGCAGCAGCTGAAATTCCTTATGCCAGGCAAAGTGAAACTGTCACTGCAAAGGTTGCTTTTTTCTACTTTCTTTCGTTCTTTATTTTTTTTTTTACCGTTTTTTTGGCAAGAAATGTAAAGTGTGTGTGTGTGTGTGTGGGATGTGGGATGTGGGCAGTGGGATGGGCTGGGCAGATCCGATATACTTACATAAGTACAACTGGTTGGGTGCTGGGTTGCATATTTAAATTTATGATTATGTCGTTATGCTGTCTGCCCACATTGCTTAGGCGAACGAAAAAGTGACAGCGGCAAACTTAATACAAATTTATGTGCAACATATTTTTGCACTTTTTTCTGGGCATAAAACACAGGGCGGCAGCAAGCAGTCAACTTAGAGAGTAAACCATCCTAGCCAGTTTACTTGGCCATCCAGCTGGACAACATATGTTGCTTGCTCTGGACAAAGTTGCGCTTGATGAGCTTCGGTTCAACGGTCGCATTGTTATTGTTGTTGTTTGCTGTGTGTTTTGTTTGCTTTTTAAAGCGACCATTAAAGAAGAACATTAAAATGCCTCCAGCGCGGCTAAATTGCATTTCATCTAGTCGAGTCACGCTGGAAAATGACAAATTCTTACATAATAAGATGCCGGCAAAGAAAAATGGTATTCATTTGGCAGGTGAGACGGCGTGAAATTGAGTCAAAGCTGAACAATAACAAAAATACCTACACAAGCTGCGTAGCTAACTCATTTTTAAGTACAAATTTATGTTGTTAAATTTTTGTGAGCAGCAGCAAATAAAAAAATTTGATTAATTCGCACCGTCTAATGGCTGGCTATAAATTCAGAGTTAATAAAACAAGCAATGGAAGGAAGCCAAGCGGTTGAGCAACCAAAGCTGTCAGCCTGAAGCTGCCAGTGCTTGCCTTCATTTGCCTGGCTCGCTAATAACAAATTTGTCACGAGCCACTTTGACAGTTGTGTGTCACAACTCTGAGCCCCACTGCTGGCCGCAGAAGCCACAATGGGGGAAAAAAAAGGAATCCTCAGCCACAATGTCAGCTGCCAACTGGTGGTGACAGCGCGCCCCAAGCACAGTGGTTGCAACATCAAGTTTAGGTGCTCATAACGTTTAATATTTGGCAGGTGGATGGGAAAATGTAGTGCATCTAACATAATTAAAAAACACATTTTTACTAATGAGAAAATTCAATTAGAGTTTGATTTTATAAAACAGCTTAAGGCTTTGTACAATCATTATTCACCTAAAGGCTGGAAAGACTTAATTTTAATTTGGTATTAATAGGAAAAATAATACATTTTAGATATTAGGAGCTCATCGAAAGCTTAGCTGTCAGAAGCGACCGTCCTTACTTGTATATAATACTGAACTTTGTCCCACTGTGCAACAATGACAACTATTTCAATGGCTGCTGCTGCAACTGCAGCTTTGGATGCGAATTAGCAATGGAAAAAATTAAATTCTATTTGTTAAACATTGTGCGAATTTGCTTTGGCTATAAAAATAGTCATTGGCCGTCTATTTAGAGCAACGCTTCAAGCCACAATTGCTTTACATACATGCACACAATTGATTATTTATTGATAACTATTATTTATTAGCAACGAATACAATTCTTGTGAATGGCAAAGGCTCACGCACAAAGCTACTCACAATTCGATTAGCCAAAATCGACGCTGCCAAAGTGTCAGCGGCAATTTGCGCAGGACTCACACTTTTTTAGCGTCACTTGTAATTACGAGCTGTCAAGACGGGTGCCAACAACAACTACAACAAGAAGAAACACAACCAACCAGCCACGGAACCGACTGGAGATGGGAGCATTTTAGTTTTGCTAGCCGCTGCCGGGTAAAGTGCATTCAAATTGGCTTAAACTAAGACTGTTACGCGTGCAGCTGTCTAATTGTATTTGGCCCCTTTTCCCTTTTAGATAGTTGAGTTGAGAGCCGAACCCGAACCCTTTGAAAGTAATGGGCAAGTGCCAGAAACTTCAAGATTTATTAGCATCAAGATTAAAGCATTAAAAATTTGCAGACTGCGTGGCACACGCATCAACAGCAGCTACAAAAGAAAGTGCCCCGGGGACTAGAGAAAGTGAGTGCAATTTTCGTTGGGGCTACATCATCAATTTGAAGTTGTTGCTGTTGTTGTTGCGGTTGCTTCTGCTGCTGCTGTTGCTGCTGCTGTTGCTGCTGCTGTTGCTGCTGCTGTTGCTGCTGCTGTAGCTGCTGCTGTTGACTGTTTCCGCCGGAAGTGTGGAGCGTAGAACAATAATAGCAACAACAAACTACAACATTGCATTGCACACTTTGGCGGTCAAAACTTTCAACATTAGCACTTAATTTACTGGCGCTACTTAATGAAGTCTACACTTGGCTAATTTACGCGAAACTCGTTTGCCTCCCACTTGTACTTGTGTGTGTGAATGGGTGTGTGTGTGTGTAGCTCCTTTGCTTAGTACTCACGTCGTATATCGACATTTTGGCAAAAACTTTTCACATATTCTGTGTTCACCGCACATTTCCATCACATTACCCCCATACATCACCAGCAGCACTTCTAATATAATCTAATGTTTGGAATGCTCAGTTACTCATGTTTCTCAAGAAAAAAGATAAAGCCATGGAGATTAATACGAATTCGATGTTCTGTACTTTTATTCTTGTAGCGACATATATATTAATATCGTATTTATATAATCAGAATATGCTTCTTATAGTGAACAGCGAATTCCTTTTAATTCAATTGCGATAAGGATTGAATAAGCTTGAAATTACATAAATTATAAATTGTGCCTCAGTATCTGCAGCACAGTTGTCGCAGTAAGTTCGAGTGCTTGAAGTGAGTGCTGTTTCGAAAATGCTTATCGAGTGCCAAGGGAAATATGCTCGCATGGCAGTTGCGGTGCTGTCGACGATCGTCTCAATAGGTGTCATTGCAGTCATCGAGGTTTCGCACCACCAGCAGAAAAAGGGTAAGCTTTTGCTGGGGGGAACACACGGGTTAAGAGATAACGATTATAGATAACCATTTACAGATCTGCAAATAATGAATCATATTTGCCTGCTGCAGATTATTTGTAGTGTGCTACTTTTTGTCGGCTCCCTTAAGGTGACAATAAATAAATATTTGATTTCATATTTATTAAACGCTGCGTCTTTTCTCGCAGTACAATAAGTGGTTTTTCTTGCCTTGGCTGGCGATCGCTATTGTTTTCGCCTATGCGTTGGTCTATCGAAGCATAGCAATTTGGATCAACATTCTAAACGATTTGAAGCAAAGCCTGATAATTATTTCCTTGCTGTACACAATTGCAGGTGGGTTCACTTAAAATGCAATATACAACACTACATACTATATTTGCAATGTTTCCATAGGTTTCTGGTGCTATTTTATTTATGCTATTATTGTGGATTTTCACCAGCAGTATGTTTATAATCAAATACATGGAATTCGTGATCCCAAGAGCAAGAATTATAATGTGACGACGTTGTTGTAGCATCGACAACATCGGCAGGCTTATTGAAACTTCTAAACTATCTTAAAGCTATCTACAATTATTTTTATCTTACATAGGATATTACCCAAGTGCCGCCGTCGTGTCTGTTCACGTCTTGGTTATCTTATCATTCTAAGATTGAACAATATGCAACGCAAAAATCGTGAGCTGATTTATAAATTTGCTATTTATCGGCAAGTTGATTCAGGGCGGTGCGAATATTAAAATGGAAAGGGAGAGGTATATGTAATATATATATATAAATATATATATAACTTTGACGCCTGGGATTCAAAGCCAAAGAGAATCACTGTGAAATGCAATCGAGCTGGAAAAGAACACGCAAGCCTTGTCGACGCTTGTGCAAATTAGTGTGAACATTGTGGTTGACTCACTCTCCCTCTCTCTCTCACCGCCGTCTCTCCGTTTATCTCTCTCTCTCTCAGTCTCTCTCTATGTGGAATTCGACGCGTAGCCAAACCTAAAATAAGCGTTAAAAAGTGTGCTAAACAAGTCAGAATGCTGCGTCAGATGACGGTAACCGACTGTTCAACACTCTGATTAATTTCTAAGACGAGCCAGGCCAAAAGGAGCCTTACTGATTATGAGTTAAGTGATCTTTGAATGCAAAATAAATGTGAAGATAATGTATCTTTGAAGTAAGTGCTACTTTTAAAGCTTAGTGAGAAATGTATTGGTATATAGTGTAATAATCTCGAATAAACTATTCCTATTCCTGACCTTGGTAAATAAATTGATTACACAGCATACTCGTGCTTGTTTCGGGATCAGAGTATAAAAAGGTTGGACGCCCAATGCGTTTTGAGTCAGTTTTGACTGTGGCCTGGGCTGTGGCAGGCACGCGTCTGCTGGGTGCATGGCTGGTTGCATGCGTATTGCATTACACCCACTCACACATATACTCCAAAGCACCCACACACACACTCAGACATGCAGCAAAGTGGCATATGAATAGATACATGCTTTTGTTGTTTGTTTGACTGTCTGTTTGTTTGTCCGCCCATGGGTGAGTTTTCGTAATCCAACGAGCAGACAGGTTAAATACACCGCAAGGACAGGCCCCACACACACACACACATACGTTAACAGGCGCATATGGCTCACACACAAACACTCAAAAAAAAAAAAAAAAATGAAAAGAGTGCTCAGAACGAGTTAGGAAAAAGTGGCAAGGCGGCAAACATGTGCTGCGTGTTGCTGCAACTGTCGCATCGTCTACTGGCAGCCTCAGCCAGATAGTAGCAGCTGGTTGACTGTGGGCATGGGTGTTGCATCCACGGCTCAGACGCAGCCAACAAACAATAATAATGCAACAATAGTGTGCGCCGCAAACAAATTGCTTTTGTGTCTGTCTCTGTTCCTGTCTCTCTGTCTTTCTGTGTATCTGTGTGTATCTGTGTGTGTTTGTGTGTGTGTCTGTCTGTGTGTGTGCTGCTCATCGAGTTCACTTGCAGATTAGTTTCGTTGCGCATTTTTATTTGCGTTTTTAAACAAACCCATACACACACACAGACACACAGACACACACACACACGCAGACAATCACACACTCAGCGGGGCACACAAGCGTAGCCCCGCTAATTTGGTGGAGGGGCTGCAATTAGTTCTGCGCGTTGAGCAAAAAGACAAACAAAACTTTGCCATAACGAGCTGCAGGGCATATAAATTGCTATTCAATAAGCTCTTAGCAGTGTTGAGAAGGAAATATGACAGATTAAGAGCCCAATAATTGTTTAGTACCAAAAATTATGTTTCTCAATTAAAGTGCAGTATTCAAGTGGATTTTATGGTATCCAATCTAAATTTCGACCAAGAATCATGTTATCATATGTCATAACCAGAAGACCATTTTTTTATTATAAAAATCGCTTTATCGTTTTGGCTTGGCAAAGTTTGTCGGGGAAAAGGCGAAATCGGTTGCACTGAATGCTGGCCCCTGCTGCCAGCGATTGTTTCTGTGCCCCTGTGTGGATGGGTTGTCTGCGATGAGCTTTTGTTGTCTGCGAAGTTTGGCTTTGACACAATGTTGCCACCTGAGCGCAGGGTGAGGCGGGGCGCAGCTCGAAAACAAAATCCATTCATTGAAACGTGTAAGCTTGTTCAGCTGAATTGAAAATTAACTATAAATTTGATGGCACAGCATGCAAAAACGTCTGACGGAAATAGCTAACTTCCAAGTTAGCTAAACGAGACGAGAAGTCTGTCATTCTGTCCGTTAAACAAGTCCAAAAGCAAAGGTGTCAACAACTGGCAGCACTTGACACCTTTAGCTGTGCCCCGATTTAGCTTGCCACACGAGTTACGAGTGTGCTCCTGTTGCGAAACTTAATGCGAACGTCCCCACAAGAATTTGCCATACAAAAATTCATTAAAAAAGTAAGAGTTTGTCGAGTGAGTGAAATGAAAAACCAAATTGAATTGCCCAAAATTTGCCTCTTTTTTTTTTTGTTTTTTGTACCGCACAGAAACCCCACAAAGGTGCGAACTACTTGTAGCAGGGGATTTTTGGGGTACGGGGCGGGGCTGGCTTTGGTGTTGCTTTTAACCCTCTTGTCAAGCTGTTGTTTGCCCAGCTTTCTGGGAGTGGGCTATAATAAGTAATACATGTTTTGTTTCGAATGAGTGTTCTGTGCAGCAAAAAGGGTCGCGAAAGCGACACTCTGCCCATTTTATGGCCACCACCTTTTTCTTTGCGCTACGACGAATTAACAGGCGGCATGTGAATGTATAAAAAAGTGTTGAATTTAACAGCCTTTGAAAAGCTTCAATTCTTTTGGCGTGGGACTAAAAGCAATTTACCCAAAATGGCATACAAATAAAATGAAATTCAATAAAAACGTTAAATATATATATATATATATATGTATATGTATTTGAAAGGACTATGAAAACAAGCAGCAAACTGCCGACTCGATAAACAATAGGCACTAGCACTGAAACTAATAAATTTTGTCAAATTCAACAAATCACACATACTTACTCGTATTTTCCACCAATACACACACACACACACACACACAGACACATACTGAAGAGCATTGCCGGAAATCATTTAAGCTGCCAAATCAGCCAACCAGCTGGGCCAAATGCTTGGCGTCAAGCTGAAGGTATTATTAAGGTGGCAGCAGCAATGGCCAGATGCCAAGGCAAAAAAGGCGATTAATATTCATTCAGTGTCGCGCGTATATCACTTTTTATTTGCACAGCCAACGAGCGAGCCGGGCAAAGTATGCAATGGAATTCGCCGCACGCAGCAGCAGGTGAGCCATACTCATGTGTGTGTGTGAGTGTGTGTGTGTGTGTGTGTCTGTGTGTGTGTGAGTGTGTGTGTGAATGTGTTTTGGCCGCGTGTTGATGTGTATGAGTAACGCACAATTACATACAACAATTTGTGCTTTGTTTCTCGGCACGTCCGTCTGCCTGTGTGCGCGATGCCAAAGCTAAAGAAAACTGGAGTTTCTGCCACTGCCCAACTCCCAGCTCCCAGTTCCTGGCTTCCAAATCACCAAAGAGCAATCGTGCAGCACACGCGGTCCTTGGCTAGAGTTGAGCTCGTGTTCGTGTGCAAAAAAACTCAAATACACATTGAATTCTATTTAATGGTTATTTAATATCGTCGAAAATGAGTAGAAGTAGAAAATTAATTAAATTTATTTAATGCAAAATTTAATATTTAAGAAATAAGAAAATATGTATATATATATGAATATATGAATAATATTTGGAACCGTTTCTAAGATTGAATTCCACTTTTAATCGAGTTTTCAAATTTAAGTGCAGCACGAAAGAAAATTAAAATTGAATTTAAGATCCAATTACAAGTAAAAAATAATACATTTTTACAGAGTATACTTTTTATTTAATATTAAAAAAAAGTAAGCAATAAGCTTAAAGCTTAGTGAAATATTTATTTATTAAATTATGACCAATTTTGAATTTCGCGTTAATTTTTAAATAAGATAATAATATAAAATAAATTGATTACAAAAAGTCTCATCTCTAAACAGTCTAACCGCTTATTTGTTGCTGCCTCACGACTGTCTGTGTGTTGTGAGCTTGTGTGTGTGTGCAGCCAGCGAATAGAGGCGGAAATCAAGATTCTCCGCTTGTGCCCTCTGCTCTCTGCTTCCCAGTGGGAACGTGCACTTCAAATTGGATGCCCAAACATCAAGTCAGCGTGTGCGAGCTGGATGCTCCTGGAGCACTTGAAGCTGCAATTTAGCATCCTTTCGATGCCTGACCTGCGCAGGCATTCTAGTTCTTTTTTTTTTTTTTGTCTTTTGCTCATGTGAAAATTGAGAAAAATTGCCAAACGACTTGGTAAGCGATATTCTGTTTTGACAAGGTTACACACTGCCAGCTCCGACTCCTGCCCCGGCTCCGACAATGCAATGCTCTCAAGTGGGCGATGCCAAACAGCGCAGTTGGTTTGCTGCCAGGTGTAGTGAATCGTTGGATGCCATTGCTGGTGAGCTTGTTGGAGTATACTCATGCTTTTTTTCGTTTTTCATTTGCTTTTGGCCACTTATTGTTAGTCCGGTCGTTTTTGTTTTGACAACTTTAGACAGTGCCATCCAAGCTGCAAGTCACAAAGGCCGAAACGTTCCGTCAAATAAAATGAAATTCGACTGCCTTTTGCGCCAGAGTTGCGTTACAGTTGAAGGCGGACCCAGTATCCGACCCACAAAATTACCACTGGGATCAGCAGCAAATGACGCGAAACAGTCACACGGACAGAGGCGAGAGCAGCAACTAAAGCATCCGCAATAGGAGCTACAACAGCAACAGCAAAAACAGCAACAACAGCAACAACAGCAACAACAACACGTGCCTTACATAAAAATCGTGCAGGCCATGCTAAACGTTTATCCCTTTTAGCCCCAAGGATGCGAGCCAACAATGGACGTCTTCAGTTTCAATGGCCCGTTTAGCTCCTGCTGCTGCTACGGCTGCTGCTGTGGCTCTCAGTAAGCTGAGACTGATTGTGGGGCTGTAGTAAGTCGGATCCAGATAAATGCCGCATCATTGGTTATTTATATGCGTGCATCTCAGCAGTGGGGTAATGTGGGGTAATGTGGCAGAGGCAGCCCGCCCTTAGCTTACCTCTTACCTGTGCACAAGCGATATATCTATATATACATATATATTTATTTGATTTCATCGATGTATATGTACACTCAACAAAAAATCTAACCGACAACCCTAAAATAAAAATCGGCCAAAAAAACAGAAAGAAAGATTTTTAGTTTGATTTTAGAAATAATTTTTAATTATTTTATTTTAAATTAAATCGGCAATTACTTTCTATTTTCATGAAATCTGTTTCCATTATATTTATAAAGTGTGTTTCCAATAGTCATAAAATCGAGTCGACTTTTCTTCTGAGTGTATTATGGAGCTGCTTGAAGTATTTTCGTCATGGTTACCACTCAGTGGCTTATGTTCTGTCATTAAGTTCTGCATAGTTTCAGTTTTATTCCCAGAAAAACATACGTTATACGTAATTGAAACTGTCTAAAAGTTATCTCTTTTTCTATTTATCTATGTGTGGGTGAGTGTGTGTGTGTCTGTGCTCCCTGTGGCGAAATTAATTAAATGGCATTCAAATGATTGGCTACGTGCCATTATTAATTTGCGCATAAATTATGCACATGTTCTAATGCCTAATGATTTCCTTTTTATGTCCAATCACTCGACTTGGCCACAAATTAATCAGCCAACGCGCAATTCCCATATATATATATATATATTTATATAATGCTCGTACACTCGCACATTTAAATGCATCACGTTTTCTATTTGCTCAATTTCTTACTCATTACAATTGAGTTGCTTTGATTTATAGAAATTACTTTCGTTTGAGTTCGCCACAGCTTAATTATGGCCTACGTTTTAGATTTTACTCTGGATAGCTGTATATTTCCAAGGAAGCAGGCTGCAATCTATAAATAATTATGACATTGGTCTTGTATATATATATCATTTCACTGCTTTCTGTAAAATATAATTATATAATCATTTTAAAATTGTTATAAACAGCAAAAATAAACTATTTCAGGCATGCCGATGATTATATACTCTTCTAACCTGAGTCAAATTGCATTCATCTAACTTTTACTTTATACGGACAGCCACATCTCAATAGTTGTGGGGTTCAAATATGGGAAGCATTGTAAGATGCATATTAGGGAAGTTTGGTTGGGATATCTTGTTATACAAAAAAGTTTTTCTTCCAAGAACTCATGTGTCGACTGATAGTTCCTATAGGACTCCTATATTATGTCCTAATCCGATCTGGTTGATTTTTTGATAGGAATGTGAGCAGTAGAATAACAGAAGACATCTTTGACATCACTATTTGAGCACTTGTAACTAAAGCAGAATTTCAATTATCCGTATCTTATATTTCATGGCTAAGAAATCTTCATTAAGAACTGTGCTGCGTACTGTTTACGGTTTACTGTTTGGCACAGACTCGAAACTGGGGCTTGTCACTGCTCGGTACTGTGGTCATCAGCGTGTATTTTTGTTTTCCAATTTTCTCTGTTGTCTGCTGCTTTCATTCCGCTCCCCGATTAGCCGATTGCCCGCTGTTGCCCATTGCCATGGACATGGACTGGTTTTTGCCAGTGGTTTTTGGGCTAAGGATTTATGTGCTGAGCGGTAGATTTATGGGCTTTTGGCTGTGAAACTGAGAGTGCTCATGTGTGGACAAGTAGTGAGAACTGTGCTAATTGAGTTGAGCCATGATTATGGCAAGAGGCAAAAGAAGTTGGCCATAACTATCTTTGAAATGGCCGGGAAGAGCATTGCCTGGAGGAAAGGTTAGTTATGGGCAGAGGAACAGATTTTGATTGGTCAGCATGGTCAACATGTAGACAACATGCAACAACATGCTGCAACAGCAAGCATTAGCATTAACATTGACGAGCTCTGGCTAACTGCTAACAGCTGCCGGCTGGGAACAACGCGTGCGCGTGGCAACGTAAACAAATGTTAGCCAAAAATGCCGGCAAAGTGTACCCAGTAACTTGGCCCCAAACACGCGAGCAGCGTTGCCAACAGTGTGCGATAAAAGGAGCCAGTGCGATAAAAACATAAAACTGGTTTCTCTGTGGCGCCGACGACGACAATCGAGAACACGAATCACGAATGCCTAAACGAAGCCAAGTCAAACCGAACGATTTTGGCTGACGACGCTGCCGCAAACAAGAAACAGTTTCAGTTTGTGCTACAAACGCGTTTTGAACGGTACACAAGTTGCATGTGGCGCGCAATTCGCAAGTGGGAGAGAAACCAGATTTAACTCGTCTTAGCTCAAAGCAGCCGCAAAACAACAAAATATTTATATACATATATATATATACATATTTGATTTGCATGAATAATTTGCAAATCTTGAAGATTTACAAAGTGTGTGATTTTTATATGTGTTCACGGTGTTAAATAATAAAAAGTTGACCAAACAGACAAAAACACTGTGAATTGTGTGAACTGTGAACTGTGAACTGTGCACGTTGTGAATTGTGAACTGCATTCCAAAGCGGCGCTCACAAGGTGAATATACAAGTAAATTCAAATATATATACATTTATATAGATATATATATATATATATGTTTATAAATGCACTGCAACATTATATGTGTATATGTGTTGAAGTGAGTGGCTGCCTTTTTAATGTACAACAACCTGAAATTCTGTTTTGCTCACAATTGTCCCTTGCTGTATGATTTTTTTTTTTTTTTTATATGCAGCAGTAAACTGGCAAAGTTGCAGCGTCAGTTTTGCAGTTCTCAGCGGCTCAGCGGCTCAGCATTCAGGCATTAAGTATTCAGTATTCCGTATTCAGTTTTCAGTAGTCGGTACTCGATTCTCGATACTCAGTTGTACCTGTTTGCATTTTGTTGTTGTAGTTGGTGGCCAACGGCTTACAGCTCACAGCTCACAGCTCTTACTTCGTTTTTTATGTCTGGTTGTTGGCCATTTCATGAACTCAAGTCGTTTGCATTGTGTCTGCGACCCCTTCGACCAGTTTTGTCTTCTCGCCAAACTTCTCTTGCCGCATTTATTAAGGCCATCATTCGCGTTGGTTCTCAGGCTAATTGCCTATAAATGCCAATTGCTTTTAGAGCATAAAATTAGCTTCAGCTGCAGCAACGCGCAGAGCGTGAGTTTGTGGAAAAAACTTTGCATGCAACTTCAAGGAAAAAGCAAATGGCGAGTTGCGAAAGAAATGCAAAACATAAATATTATATGCATAAACTCAAATTGTTATTGCCACTTAGCAAGCGCGCCAAAGAAGGTCCAAAACAAAGCAAGCCAGCTGAAATGCTTATAATAAAATGAAGAAAAAAAATGTGCAAAACAGAAAACAAAAAGAATAAAAAAATGCTGAATTTGCAAGCTAAACAGCACCTGGTTTGGTAATATGCCAGAAGGTGGCCCAAACGCAGCAGCAGCAGCAGCAGCAGCAGCTCAAAATGCAAGCAAGACAAAAAGAAAAGCATTAACAAAAAACGCGGTCTGCAGCGCATCACATGCCGAGGTCATTTTACATTGCCCTTGGCCCAGCAGCAACTGACTCCCCCCGTTCTCCCCCCTGCACCGGTAGCCAGTCTCTTGTTCCACAGTTTTGTGCTGCGACAAAGAACTTCAAAAGCATTGCTCTGGCCGGCAAAACGAAGCGACGTCGTCTGTTTTTGGTCATTATGAAAAGAAAATATGCGGCACTAACAGTAACAGAGGCTCAAAAGAACCAAGAAAAAAATTGGAAAAAAGCACATTGAACAGTTGCAACGAAAAACTGTAGCAACAAAACACGTAGGAAAAAAACCCAAAAAACAAAGCGCAAAAAAAGAAGGGAAATGAAAATTAAACAAGCAAACCATCGCTGCACGCTCAAAGCGTTTAAGCGCCTTTGACACCCAGTTGGGGGCTTAAGGAGGGCTGAGTCCTTAGAGTCTGGGCTCCAGGTGCGAGCAATTTGGCGCGCATTTTGCATGTGTGACAGTTGCCAATCAACGGCTTCTTTTTTTTCTTCTTTACTTTTTTTGTGGTTGTTGTCCATTGCATGTCAGCTGAAGCCAATTCGAATATGCGACACTTGTCAAATTGTATAGCAATTGTGTGATAATATAACAAAACAGTTTGTATAAATAAGCAACCGGTTTCGATCGCCCCACGGTCAAATAAAAGTAAATACTCTTGAGCCACAACAATCTTGGAGCCGGACATCGACAGTCCCAGCAAATTGAGCAAGAATGCCACTTATAATAATAACTTCACAACTACTAGAATTACGCTTACTGACTGTTGAACTAATGAAGCAATTACTTTATTACAATGACATATTTGAGTTAAGTGAATCAACAAATTCATTCGCTTGCCCAGCTTAGCAGAATTGTTTTGAAATGCATTTTATATTGCCATTAATTGTGTGATTATGAGTTACGTTTAAGTAATTAAACCAATTCTTTTTATGCAAAGAGGCTACCAATTTTCAAGCTAATGCCAATTAAAGCTTGTATTTGTTGAATTAATGAGAAAATAGTTGTGAGCTTAAGCTCGCTTACCAAATTACTATTTGTGATATTACTTTTTTAACGTTATTCTGTTAACATTTTGTGAGAAGCGGAATTAAGTTTGTTGATTTTCTTAAGTCCAAAATATTTTCATAAAATGTGCAGACTATTTTCTGCTTTTTTTTATTGTATGTTGATTTATTATATAAATATAAAATGCGGCGGCAATTAATCTAAATCGGATATACATATATTCTGCATACAATTACATAGAAGCAGTTAAAGTACAATAAGTCTCAGAGTCCTCTTATCGATTCGCTTTTCTGGGCAAAGTTAATGTTTTCATTGCGTTTGCCGGAAATGCCGTGTCCTGCCTTTGCTCCCAACACCAAAAACCAAATTTCACTTAATGGTTTTTTAATTGTAACAATAATTGCTGTCGCCATCGCATGAGCAGCTGTCCAAAAACAAAACAAAAAAAAAAAAAAACAAACCGAAAAAGAAGGAAAAAACCAACAACAAAATAGCCAGCAAAAACCTCGCCATTAATGAGTGCTCTTCGCAAGTGTTTAGATGGCTACAAATTGACCAGCAACCGGGCAAATAAAAAGAAAAAAAAAAAAGAATTCGCCAGCAAAGCTCGACACATAATCGCTCATTTGGGCTGTGGCCTATGCCCTGTGTGTGTGTGTGTGTGTGCGTGTGTGTGTGTGTGTGTGTGTGTGTGTGTGTCTATAATTAAGCCTAAAAGTGCTGGCCTATGCCTTTTTTATGGACCTTCAACTGTCCCAGCGTGCGAACATCCAACTCCAGCCATCAACTTGCTGACTTTACCAGGCTCAAATCTTTGCTTTTGTTATTTTTATTATTTTTCTTAGCTTTTACTTTTTGTTGGCAACACATTTGCTCTTGTGGCTGGGCGGCCCAGTTGATTATGAGCATTTTTGTGTGTAGCTTGTTGCTCTCGTTGTTGTTGTTGTTGCTGTAGTTGCTGTTGCTGTTGTTGGCAAGTCTCGCACAGTTTTTGGTTTTGCTTGCTGGGCTTCCAGCACACTTTTCTAGCATACTCTTGTGCGTTCTGCGGTCTCTAATGTGCGCCATTTCGGTTTTAAGCGCGTGTCTGTGTACTTGTGTGTGTGTGAGTGTGAGTGTGTGTGTGTGTGTGTGTGTGTGTTGCTTGCTGCTGCCACCGCATTTGCCCAGAGGTCATTATAGACGCCTCGCCTCACCCGTTGCTGCTCATACGCGCCTGTGCCGTTGCCATTGTGAGGCCGCCAACTTCCGCTACTGCGATCCTTTTGGCTTTTGCCTCTGGCCTCTAAAGTGGCAATTTGTCTAGTTTTGTAAGCGCCTCTTTTAACGATAATGATGATTGCGCTTTGTTGCGTTTTTATTTAACTGCACACACACACACACATGCAGTTCTCCAGTGTGGTCAAGCGTCCAAATAACCTCAACACACAGTCCATTTTCATGGACTTGCTTGCGACTTTGTTTTGCTTCCATTTTGCGGCCACACTTGCTTTTTTGTTGTTCTTTGTTTGGTTGTTGTTGTTATTGTTGTTGTCTCTCTTTTCGCAGCGGTATTTGCTTAGAATTTTCCGATTTTCATTCATACTACAAATGCCAAAACGAAAGTCTGTTCATTCAGTGCCGTAGTTTTTTTAGTTTTATTTTTATTTTGTTTTTGTTGTTGCTCCTGGTGTTGTTTCTACTTTTAGCTCTGTCTGTCAACGTGTCTGTGGCTTGGCTTATTTGTTTTTTCGCACTCTTTTGCTGCCGTGTCGTCGCCGTTGTTAATTTTTATGTACGGCTATTTTCGCATTTGCTTTATTGACCATGTACGAATATGTATACGGCTACAACTGTCCTGTCTAGACAATTTTGCGTGGCACTCGTAACTGCAACCTGCCAATTTGCCGTTGTCTGCCTATACGACTACTGTTTATTTGTTTTTATTCAACTATTTGATTTGAGTTGTGACATCAACATTTATTTCTACCAATTGGCGAGCTTGTTATATGTGTGTGCGTGTGTGTGTGCCAATGATTTATTTTCATTTTGTATTTCAGGTAAATAATATATACCTATTACCCAGCAATTTGTAAACATTTTGAAGCAGGCATGCATAAATAAAATTGAATTGCAATTTTGCCAAAACGCATTGCTCGATACGAAAATCAATAAACCTTTTTTAGTTTATAATTTTTTTTTTTTTACACACATGCACGAACACACAAATATCTGTGGCTGGTCAGTGACAGAAGACAGCATCCGCATTCGGTTGGGCAGCGCAGATGGGGCAGCCAATCTATCGATTTATCTTCGCCTTTGTCAAATAAAATCAACTGATTACTTTATCACAAGAGCGTAAAATGAGCACCACACACATGTACGTATACGTGTACATATACTAAAGAGACCCACTGTACCAGGCAACCAAGTCAGAGCTCCGACGGCATTCACGTGCTGTGCTGTGCTGTGCTGTGCTGTGCTGTGGCTGCCACATTGAATGACTTTATCGGCTGCTAAACGTCGCTTGGTCATTTGAAGCGCACACGTTTAACCCGCTTTTACGCACACACAAACAAACACAAACTTATACACACAAACACATACACATGAGCATGCACAAGTTAAAGTTGACTGGCATTACTGATATATTCCCCACACACAACTCTCTTTCTCTATGTGTGTGTTTGTGCTCCGACTATTGGGTGGCCCTCTAAAAGTTTATTGCTTCATTCTGTTGTGCAATTTAATCGATGTCGATGTCTGTCTGTCTGTATGTCTATCTGTCCATCTGTCTGTCTGTCTGTCTCTGGCAGTGTCTGCGTGTGGGGTTCTCTCTGCGATTTTAAAGCGCAGCTAATGTAAATCGTTGTAATATTGCCATTTAGGGCTTAATGAGCCTCACACGATTTAAGAGGCCTGCTCACTTCTACTATTTTGTGCCAGAGGCAACTTAACATTACGAGCCATTCCTGTTTTCGGTGTAATTTTCCATTTAGTAAATAGGCTAATCCACTTATGG